TTGATCCTTCCAATCAGTTTCACAATCTGAATACAATGGGACAATCAGATAAGAGTGAATTCTCATGTGTGCTGTAGCATGAAGTACTACACATCTCCTACAAAGTAATCATTATAAATAGCCAATAAATACATGAAAAAATGTTCAACATCCCTAGCAAATGCAAATCAAAACAACACTGAGATTCCATCTCACTCCAAAAAGAATGGCTATCCACAAGAAATCAAATGATAACAAGTGCTGGTGAGATTGTGGGGGAAAAGGAACCTTTCTACATTGTTGGTGGGAACATAACTAGTCCACAACTATGGAAATCAATATGGAGATTTCTGAAAAAATTAAAAGTAAAAATTCCATTTGACCCAGATGTTCCCCTTCCAGGTGTCTTCCTAAAAGAGTTAAATACATCATATTACAGTGGATATATGCATAATTTATAATAGGTAAATATTAGATGCATCCTGTATGTCTATCAACAGATGAATGGATAAAGAAAATGTAGCACTTAAACACAATAGAGAATTACTCTGCCATTAAGAAAGACAAACATATGTCATTTGCAGGAAAAAAGATGCACCTTGAGATTATAATGTTAAGTGAAGTAAATTAGAAATACAAGCTTAAATATTACATGGTTTCTCTTATATGAGAAACTCAAAATATAAATAAAGAGAAAAAATAAAAAAGAGAATTTTAGACAAAAGAAAAAAAGATCAAAGTATTCATGACCAAAAAGGTCACCCTGAATATAATCAAACTTTTCCATTTAATTTTCAGTTTACAGAGAATATATAAGATAGGTGAACAAGTAAATGATACTGCAAGGAAGCAATCAAATTAAAAAAACTTGATCTCTCTAGGACACTGGCGTAGTCTCAAAAAACTCAAAGGTACAAAGAGAAACAAAACTAAACAGGCAGATTCTCCAGGATTAAAGATCTAATTACATAACAACCATATATGATATGTGAACTTTATTTGGTTTCAATAAGCCTATTACAAAAAGGTTTGGGGACAATTAGGGAAATGAAAATATGGACTAGGCATTAGATTACATAATTAAAATTGGTTTCATGTAATAAATATTTATGATTACATAAAAAAATGTGCTCATTTTAGAAAGATGTACTAAGTATTTTGGGGTACACCAAAAAGTAAAACAAACACAAGTTAATAATTTCTTAGAGGGCTGGGGATTTAGCTCAGTGGTTCCACCACCTGCCTCACAAGTGCAACGACCCAAGTTCGATACCCAGTACAAAAAAAAAATCAACAACAATACTACTACTACTACTAATAATTTCCTAGATACACAATGGATCACATACAGTATTTAGTGCTCACTACTCTGTTCTCTCAACTTCCTTGTTTGCCTGAAAAATGTTCATGATAGACATAAGTGAGAGTGGTTTTAATTATTGACTACTTTTTTGTTTCTTCATTAAGTCTCAAGTTAAAGCATTCCTCTAAATATTCAAATACACAAATACATCAGAGAGACAAACAATATCATAGTCATAATTCTGATGGATAGTATGGAGAAAAACCAGGCCAACTGCCTCCTTTTAGGATTTCATCTTAATGAGCTTATTTATACCAGGATGTATACCATATATCCACTTTTAGGCCTTCAAAAGAACATCTAGGCAACAGAAATCCCAACTGTCCAAAAATATATACAAAAATCAAGAAATAAGTATTAACAGAGTAATTCTTTTCATCTTTTCATACTTTTTATAGTTTCCACAATGCTATATAAAAATATTTTCATTTACAGTATCACGTAACTAAAAGAAATCTTTTCTTTGAAATAAAGTAACTTACTACACAAGCTAAATATCCTTCCTGTGAAATGCTTGAAACCAGAAGTGCTTTGGACTTCAGGTTGTTTTGAATTTTGGGATATTTACATATATATATGAGATACCTTGGGGATGGAATCCAATTTTAAACATAAAATTTTCTATGTTTCACCTATATCTTATACACATATTTTGATGGCAATTTTATAATTATATTGTTTGTATTTAGACTGTGACCCACACATGTGGTCAGGTATGAAATATTTTCCATTTGTGGCATTTTTAGCATTCAAAAAATTTCAAATTGTGGAGCAGTTTGCATTTCAGATATTTGGATTAGGGATGATCAACCTGTATTTACCAGTCAGTACTCATTTAAAAAGAAGTCATAAAAGCATAAACTCAAAGGCCAATTCATAAAATTACAATATCAAAACTTGAAAATTACATGGCCAGTATATGATAGTTAAGACTAAATTTAATTTTTTTTTTTTTTGGTACTGGAGATCAAACTCGGGTCCTTGCACTTGCAAGGCAGGTGGCGGAACCACTGAGCTAAATCCCCGGCCCAATTTTTAAAAATACATGATAATCAAGTACAACAGCCCTCCCTCAACCACAGGGTATATACTCAAGGCCAGTGGGTGTCTGAAGCCACAAATAGTAATGAACCATATGTATACTATATTTTTCCCCATATATGGATAAAATAAAGTTTAATTTATAAATTATGCACAGTAAAAGATTAACAATAACTACTAACAGTAAGTATGAAAAATACTATAATAAAATTATGTGAATGTAGTTTCTTTCTAATTATCATGGGTTAGGTACTGTAATTCAGAATGGATACAATGGATGAAAGGATGTTTCACCTTCACAGTGGGACAGAACAGGATGCTGTGAAATTTCACTGTACTACTCTGAAAGAAGTGTACTTAAAAACTTATGAGTTGTTTCTTTCTGGAATTTTCTATTTAATATTTCAAACCGTAGTTGGTAGCAGGTAAGTGAAACCACAGAAAGTAAAAACACATATCAGGAGGGAAGACTGCACATATTAGCTTTAAAACACTAAATTTGAGTTCTCAGTTTTAAAATCAAAAGTTCTTCCATGGCAGTTACAGTGGTAGCACAGCAGAGTTTAGAACAACTGATTAAATAAACTTTAGCTGAGTAGCAGAATCTACTATATAAACTGATCAACTATGAATTAGAATATATGATCCATGAACCCTGTGGGAGTCCCCAAGATGTTTTGAGGGTCTATAAGGTCAACATTGGTCTTATTATACTTTTTTATTGTGTTGACATTTTCACTGATGGTACCAAACCAATGTTGAGTAAAACTGCTGGCAACTTAGCACAAATCAAGGCAGAAGCACCAAACTATAGAGTAGCCATTGAGTTCTTCGTGACATGTACCGAGAATAAAAGAATGTGTTGTGGGGCCAGGGATTTAGTTCAGTGGTTCCGGCACCTGCCTCGCAAGTGCAAGGACCAAGGACCAGAGTTCGATCCCCGGTACCAAAAAAAAAAAAAAAAAAAAGAATGTGTTGCATTTATAACTGTCCTCAAAGAAGCTGTAAAATTATTAATCCTGAACATTTCATATATATAGTTTTAATATTCTGTGTGATAAAATGAGAAGCATGGATAAAGCACTTCTTTGTAGTATATTCTTAAATGTGTCATCACCTGGAAAATCTGCATAATTCCGTGAATAAATATTTTCCAAATGACATGACAATAATAATGCATAAGCAAAGAGCCATTCGAAATGCAAGACAGATCAGTGGATTTTAACTAACGGAGTATTAAAGGTGTACTGATATAGTTTCAGATTCCATGTTGTAAGAAATATTTTAAAAACTACTGCTTGTAAAGTTTTGGTGTACTGTCAAAGAAGAATATTCTATCTAAAATTATATATAAAAGCTACATATATTGTGAGGGCAGATTTTCTCATACTTCAATCAAATCATCACATAACAACAGACTGATTACAGAAGCCAATATTGCATACAGCTATTTCTTATTAAGCTAAACATTAAAGAGATTTGGAAAGACTTTCAAAAAGTAGAGGGGATAGTAATTCTTAATAAAAATGCTATTCATGACCCAGGAACTTCACTGGATATACATCCAAAGGAAATGAAATCAGTATTTGAAGTGATATTTGCATTACCATGTTTAATGTAGCACTATGTATAACAGCCAAGATATGGAATCATCTTCTGTGCTCATAAATGGAAGAATGGCTAAAGAAAATATGATGTGTATACATGTGACAGAGTATTATTAAAACATAAATATAAGGGCCGGGGATTTAGCTCAGTGGTTTCGCCACCTGCTGAGCAAGCGCAAGGACCTGAGTTCGATCCCCGATACCAAAAAAAAACCAAAACAAAAAAACTCATAAATATAATAAAATTCTGTCATTTGCAGCAACATTAATGAAACTACAAAACATGTTAAGTGAAGAAAGTCAGGTACAGAAAGATGAATATTGCCTGTCTCATTTATACATGGAAACTAAAAAAATTGATCTCATAGAAATCGAATAAAAGTGGTTACCAGTATCTGCGAAGGAGAAGGAAGAGAGGATGGTGAACAGTTAGAGGTGTGCAAATCAAGAGGAGGAATAAACTTTAAGGTTCTATAGCACAATATGATAACTATGGTTGGCAACAGTTAATTGTTTATCTTCAGATAGTGAGTGGAGAGGATTCTGAATGTTCTGAACACAAAGAAATGATAAGTGTGAGGCAACAGAAAACAAAATGTTATTCATATTAACATGTAATTTTTATTTTAAATGAATTAATAATAAACATTAAAGTTTTCTTAGTTTTAATTTATAATACAGTGCACATCAACAGATGCAACTCATATAAACAAAAGCTCTTTGGGATCTTCAATAATTTTTAAGAGTATAAGGGAACAATAAGACCAAAAAGTGATAGAATCACTGAATCAGAAGAATGGGATAACTAAGTATATTGGAAAGTTTAAGAAAAATTAAAGGAACATGTACTTATTATTCTAAGACTATTATGAAGAACCCAAATAAAACTAAAATCCCTATAAAACAAAATGGTTAAACAGAAAAAAATTATGATAGACCCCAAATGTTATTCTATCTTCACTTCTACAAACAAGCACACACACACAACACACCGAACCGCAACTTCTTACCCTGGCTATGAGGACTTGCAGGACTGAGAGATGGCTGATGCAGATCTTTAGTTGCTGTTTGATAAGCTTCTTTGCCTTGGCGCTGACTCATCTTTCCTGGTGTCAGAAGAAGCTGAGATTCGTCACTGTTTGCTACAACAGCTCAAGGAAAAAAGAAAAATATTATTAGCCCTAAAGTCATGAATTTATATGAAATATTCAGTAATATGATATAGAATTATGATTAAAATGGTCTTAGTGGTTATATTCATTTTACAATTTAATACTTTAATAAATTCACTTGATTATTTTGCTTTCATATTGGTTTATTATCAATCTAAGAAGAAATGACAAGTATGCATAAGTCAAATATGCAAACATTTTATATATACATGAAGATAGATATCCAACTGAGAAGGAATGGCACCCCACGATTTGCTGTGAACTTTTCTCTGAGTTGTTAGCTCTTTATATTTGCCAGTAGAACAACAAAAGACAAAGTCATTTTTAATAGAAAAAACACAAAAAGCATATGAAAAGATATTCAGCCTCATGAGTAACCAGAAAAAAATACAAACTATTAGCAGTACATAATATTTCACATGTACTAGAATTTGTACTCTAATGTCTAATTCTCATGAAAAGTAGGTACTATATGACATGGGGAAACTTGAGGTACAGAGATTACCTTGCCTAAGACTAAGAAGTCAGTAAATAATAGAGGCAGGGCTGTCACTCAGGACCATTTCCAAAGTGTGTCTTTTAAAAGCTTGATGGGCCAGGGATTTAGCTCAGTGGTTCTGCCGCCTGCCTCACAAGTGCAAGGACCTGAGTTTGATACCCAGCACCAAAAAAAAAAAAAAAAAAAGCTTGCTGCACCCATAATCAATTTAAAGAGTGCTCTCTGAGGCTGCTTCTCACCCTTATAGCCAAGCTGTCAACAGAAGAAAGCAACATAAAAAGATGGAAATGAGAAAAGAGGGGGAAAACAAATACCCAGTGAAGGAACAAGGTAAATATTAAGTCTACACTGACCTAGGTTCACCATTTTACGTTTTCCTGATTTTTTTCAACTTAATCAGAACTTTCCATTCACAATTTTATCACCACAGATTTTTGTTTTTGTTTTTGGTACTGGGATCGAACTCAGGACCTTGTGCTTGTGAGGCAGGCGGTGAAACCACTGAGCTAAATCCCTGGCTCACCATAGTTTTTAAAAAGATCTTATCACATCAACATACTTTCCATGGTGCTAAAGCCTGAAAAACTAAATTTTAGCTCCTTATATTTCAAAGTAAAAATATAAAGCACTTTCAGTTAAAGATATATGAAAGTATTTACCAAGTAAATTAAAAAATCTATAGACTTGTATTTCCTAAATTTCCATCTCCAGCTATAACGTCCCCCCCTTAACTAAAACTCACGTGTCTAAGGGCCTGCCTTATAATCACGGTTTTTAAAAAACTATTTATCAGGTATCTCAAACTTATCTAGCATATAATTCTTGGGCCGGGTATTTAGCTCAGTGCTAAATTCAGCTCACTGCCTGCCTCACAAGCACAAGGTCTTGAGTTCGATCCTTGGTACCAAAGGAAAAAAAACCCAGAAAACAATTTAATCCTTGATTCTGCTTATTCTCCAGACCTCTCTTTCCTCCATCCCAGTTACTAGTATCACTGCTCCTGTCTCCCCACTTTCTAAGCCCACAGACCTTAGATGTATCTTTAATTTTTCTTTCCCTCATATTTCACATCTAATTATCTGTGAAATCTTTAGACTCTATCTTCAAAATTTATCTGAATCCTAATACTTCTCCCCTCTTCCACACCAAGCCACCATTACATTTCTACTGGGCCTTTGCAGCAGATTTCTACCAGCTCACCACATCCTCAATGGTTTCCACTTTACTTATAAAATTCATGCCCTGAAGAGTCAATACAGTCTGGCATCTGTTTGTCCTTCAACCCCCTTCTCCACTACTCTCCTGCCACTCACTTTGCTCTTGCTATAATCACCTTGGTATTTCCCAAAACTGCCATCCCTGCCAGTCTCAGGGGCTTTATAAATTTTCCTCCTTCTGCCTGGAATACTCTGGGCTCAAATGTCATCTCTTTAGAAAAGCCCTTTGGTTCCTTCATGGTGGTCTTTGACAAATTAAGTTCTTTATTTTAATATAGCACAGTTAGGTTTTTGCTGCCCAGAGGAGCACTGATCAGACCCAAAGCTCAGCTTCTTCTCAGTCTCATTTTTTTACCTTTCCTGTAATTTGCCATGTACTGCTGTGGCTCGCAGGAGACTAGGACTTAACTGCAGAGGTTCTGAATAATATAGCAGATCTTTGCAGGATTCTTTGCAAATTCTGCAATTCCTGGATCCTCACATCCTTTTTCTTGGAGCGAGATGCTGCACTCCAACCCTGGGGACTATGCCTGGGGTGAGACAGGGCTTGATGCCATTGTAACCCAGCTTTTAGGACAACTGGAAAACACAGGGCCTCCCCTAGCTGACAAGGAAAAGATCACTTCTCTTCCAACAGTGACAGTAACTCAAGAACAAGTTGATACGGGTTTAGAATGTCTAGTATGTAAAGATGATTATACAGTTGAAGAGGAAGTCCGGCAGTTATCCTGCAATCACTTCTTTCACAGCAGTTGTATTGTGCCATGGTTAGAACTGCATGACACATGTCCTGTATGTAGGAAGAGCTTAAATGGTGAGGACTCTACTCAGCAAACTCAGAGCTCTGGGGCTTCTGCAAGCAACAGATTTAGCAACGATAGCCAGCTACATGACCGATGGACTTTCTGAAACTAAAGACCACCCCTGAACCAGGGCTGTCAGAAATAGTCTTCTTACCATAGATGTAAATTGTATCAAAACAAAAAAATAGATGGATTTAGGAATCATATAAGAAACCCCAACCCATAATATTAATGCAATGAGTGTTTTTCTTCTCTAAATCTGAAGTTAGTATCTATAAAAGGAATTTTATCTACACCCAGATTCCTCTTATTCCTGAATTCAGAGTGGTAATTTTGTAAGTGTGAAATTTAAGTACAGTATGTGGGTCTTCCCCTGTCTGAATAAAATGAGTTCCTTGAAGTCTTGCTAGGGTCCTGCTGTATGTCATGTTGCCCTGAGATGGATGTTTCTACCTCCTTCTCCAACCTCTGTCTCATCATTAGTGTATTTAAATTGCAGTAAATGCAGAGGAACCAGATCCCTAAAATCCTGATGATATAAAGTCCTTTTGTCTTAACTGTGCAAAAGCATCTACTTCTATCCACATAAGCAATTAAGTAAGTTCTGATTAATTTAGGATTCTGAGATTGAAGATTTAGTTTAGTCTCAGTCTCATAGAGTAAATTAAAAAAAATCATAGTAGGAAGGAACAGGTGGCCTGTTATTATACGCTTTGGTATGCACTTTCTCCAGAAACCAACAAGGCATGTCTTGAGAATCTTACGTTGGGAGAAATCTAATACTGGTTCCTTTTTGGTAATGAATGTTTTGTTAAGACACAGAAAGGCTGAGTGTGGTGGTGCATGCCTGTAATCCCAGCACTTGGGAGGCTGAAGCAGGAGGATCGCCATGAGTTCAAGGCCAGCCTGGGCTACATTGTGAGACCCTGTCTCGGGGGGGGAAAAAGAAGACACAGTCAGATATTTGAAATCTCTGGTTCTGAGATTTTTTTAAATGATGCCCAACTCATTGTTCACTATCCTTTGTTCTAGCAACCTTAAAATAATTTCCCTTATAAAACTAGGATTACTTCATTACCACTTCCACTGTTCACTGGTTTTGGTAATTCATTACTCATTAGGAATTGAAATTTTACATTGTTTCAATTTTTAAAGCCCATTTTTCAGCTCTGAAACTTCTGATCTGCTTTGTTCTGCTTATACTTGGAGTCAGACCAATTAATATGATCATGCCAAGAACAAGTAGGCCTGGAAGAGGTAGGCCTTACTTTTTCAGCCTAACACTGTCCCACACATATGCTCTTTTGAATGTTTAAAGTTGAATAAATGAAGAATGTTAAAAAAATATATATATATAGCACAGTTAATCAATTTTTGGTATGGTTAGTGTCCATCACTCCACAATTACAATCTATTATCTTCAGCTAGGTGATTTTCATTGTAACTCGTCATTATCTGAAATTATACCATCTGTTTATTCTCTGCATTCCTCTACTACACTAAATTTCACGAGAGCAAGTTTTGTCTATCTCATTTCCCCATAAATTTTTAGCCTCTGCTATACTTCCTGGCATACTACAGGTATTGTTTCCTGTAGGTGATCAATACAATTTTATTGAAAAAAATCAATTAGCTTTATATTTTTATGAAACTTTATCATCATAAAGCATATAGTAGCTTCTTCAGTTACAAAATCCAAAATTCATTTGATTTCTAAAAAAAAAAAAAAAAAGGAACTTAAAATGCATAATACTGGTGCAGAAAAAACAAATTGACCTAAAGAACATACCAGAGAGCTCTCAGAAATAGACCCACATATGTCACCCACATATGCAACAGAGGTAGAAAAAAAACACTACTCAATAAATGATACTAGGACAACTGGTCATCCATGGAAAAATAGATTTCCACCTTATATCTCATACAAAAAAAACAGTTCTATGAAAATTAAAGAAACAAGTATAAAAAACAAAACTTAAAAATTTGTACAAGAGAATCTTCATAAACTTGGGTGAGGGAATGATGATTCTTTAAAAAAGATATAACAAAGCACTAACCAAAACCCAAAGAAATAATAAATTGTATATTAAAATTATAATTCTTTTATTTATTTATTTTTGGTACTGGGGATCAAACTCAGGACCTTGTGGTTATGAGGCAGGTGTGGTGCCACTGAGCTAAATCTCCGGCTCTAAAATTATAATTCTTTTAACCAAATGATTCCATAATGAAACTGACAATAAAGGTACTAGACAGGAAAATATATTTGTAACACAGGTAATTAACAAAGGGTTAGCAGGGAGAATGTTTGAAAAAATAAATAATTCCTATAAATCAATTAGAAAAAGATCAACAACATAATAGAAATATAGGGGAAAAATCAAACATTATTTCACAGAAACGCAAAAGGTCAATAAGTATATAAAAATATTCCTTGTCCTTAATAATCAAGGAAATATAAACTAAATCAAAATGACAAATATCTTATACTTAACAAGACTGAAAAAAATTAGTAAGTCTGATAACAACAAATACTGATGAGGATGGGATCATCAAGATACCATAGGCACTGTTGGTGCCGTATACATGGACGTAAGCACTTGGGAAAACAATTTTGAGCTATTTTATATAAAGGGGAATTTCATTCAGCATACTCTATAGGTCCAACAACTCCACTTTTATATTTATACCTTGAAAAACTATTATTTTTATATACCAAGGGATAAGAGCAAAAATGAATAGCAACACCATTCACAAAGCAAAAGCCAAAACAACTTAAATACTCATCAGTTGAAAAATAAAATGGATTAATAAATTCTGGCATATGTATATGATGAAACAGTACTTAGTACTGAAATGGAATGACTTATTTCTATACTGATCAACATGGTTCAATATTAGAAATACATCATCCACTATAAAAAGCAAGGTTAAATACAATATGCCACTGTTATAAAATTAAAACCAAGCAAAACAGCAATATATAATTTTTTTGTTGTGTTTTTTTTTTGGTACCAGGGATCGAACTCGGGTCCTTGTGCTTGCGCGGCAGATGCTGGAACCACTGAGCTAAATCCCCGGCCCCAGCAATACATAATTTTAAAATAACAACAAAGCCTGCTTTTCCAAGAGCAAAGAAAGCTGGGCATGGTGGCGCATGCCTATAATCCCAGCACGTGGGAGGCTGAGGCAGAAGGATCACCAGTTTAAGGCCAGCCTGGGCTACATAGTGAGTTCAAGGTCAGCCTGAACTACATAGCCCAGACCCTATCTCAAAAAAACCTGGTAAACAAAAAAATACAACCTAGTCATTTCCTCTGGGGACAGGCAAGGGACAGAAGGAAATAGAAGCAGAAAGGTGTGAGGTATTTGTAAGATTCTAGTTTTTATTTTGAGTTATATATCAGCTTAATATATGTTTACTATTTAGTTATGCTTTATCATTTACATAGGATGCATATATTCTTTTGTATGTATCAAACAGTACATTTACGGCTAATTTAAGTATTAGAAAAAGCACTAGTGGATTAAAGTATGCTTTAGGACTCTATCAGCAGGACGTATGTATCCATATCTTGAATAACTTCGCTATAATAAAATAAATCATTCTAAAAGTGCAAATTTAGTTGTATTCACCTCTTTCTAATCCATCATAAAGTTAGTTAGGACTCTGATTTTTGACAACCCTGAAGTGACAGAGTACATAGAAATAACAATGTCCAGAGTGCACTTCTTTACAAGAAAAACAGAAAATTCACCTATTTGTTTTCTCTCACCCCAGTCATAAGTACTAAAAACTACACAAACAAAAAAGGGTTCTGCAAAATATAAAAATCACTACAATGTCCTGAGGTATTTATACAATAGTAGATTATCTGAATAGAAGTTTAAGAAGAGTAGGAGCTTTGTCTGTGTTTACTGGCACATAACTGGAAAGTACTTGCTAACTAGCTGAAAATATTTTGGGAAATGAATCACTAATCACTGCCCTGTAGTTTTTGACGCAACTGACTCACTTACTAAAGTTAGCATTACAGTGCCCTCTGCTGCTTCTCTTTCCAGTGAAGGTAAAATAACATACTTTGCTATTCTCATTACTCATATTTAGGAGAAATCATGCTGGAATAACCAAAGGTATTATAATTAACACACCACTGTGACTTCAAGATGAATATGAATCCTTAACTAACATTCTTTACTTTATGAATTTACTCAACTTATTAGTATAAAAATTTGCTGTGCCAGTAATGCCAGCTATTCAGGAGGCTAAAGCCAGATGATAAGAAGTTCTGGGCCGGTCTGGGCAGTGAAACCCCCATCTAAATATAATAAAATAATAAATAAATACAATTTGAAGAATTTTACAATCTTCAAAGTCTGATGTTTGCCCTTAATCTGAATGAAAGCTAAAATAAAATTAAGATTTTGTTGTTGTTGTTTCGGGGATTGAACCCAGGACCTCGCTCTTGCGAGCCAGGCACGGTGCCACTGAGCTACATCCTCAGCCCTTAAGTAAGATTTTAAAGTCCTAAATAGTCTGTATGTAAATCCTAAGACTCCCTGTGAGATTTGTGCTTTCTTCTCTACACTTAAAATTTGTAGTTGTCCTAAAAATGCTGGCTATCAATAAGGAATATATTTTAAATGTTGTAAACTGTTGCAATCAAGAATTAAAATAAGAATTTAATGTAATTCATAAAATAATGTATATACTCTAACCACAAACAGAAACTGATCTAGACCAAAGACTTTTATAGCTAAAAGAAGAAACTTTTGCTATTATTTTGCTCAGCTCCTTCCTTTGTCCAATGAAGAAAATGAGCCCGAGAGCAGTGAAATAGTTTGGAATAGTTAGATAACTATTTAGAAATACTAATATTTCCAAAATCAATATAATTTCCTTGTTCTTCAATAAAATTAAGTAATATTAACAGTATTGTTATTAGTTCCTCTATAATGTTCCTTTAGCCTCAGTAATTCTAACAATGTTTAGTACAAAAGTAATCCCTGCCACTCTCCAGCTACACTATAAAAATCCTTAAGGGCAGGCAGCATGCTTTGTGTGTCTGTACCACACAATATCCATTGTGTATCTGTCCCCATCCCCCAAGAACCTCTCAGTGAAATTTGTTGAGGTAAATTGGATATAATTCTAAAAGGACCTTAATCCCTAAAGTAAAACATGTTTCATTAAAGGCACAAAAAAATCACAAAAACTATCTTACATAAAAATTCTGACAGAATTAAACAATGTCCCATTTTCATATGGCAGTGAACTTCTTGTACCATTTTCAGCTTCAAAGTAGTCTGCTTTATGTTTTGTAATAACTGAAGAAAGGAACACTGTGAAAAAGAGGTCCTAAATTATCGATTAGACAAGTAAATAATGCATTGCCAGCAAATTAAGATGTAAATACTGTAACACCAACTATCAGTCTCTGATTGACAATGAGAACTGATGGGCACTGGGCACTGACCATTTCTATTTTTTGTTTTGTTTTGTTTTAAGACAGGGTCTCCCTATGCAGATCAGGCTGGCCTTTAACTCACTAGGTAGCCCAGGCTGGCCTTGAACCTGCCTCAGACTCCTGACTGCTGGGATTACAGGTGTGCACCACCACACTTGGCTACCATTTCTATTCTCTACTTTGTAGTACAGTGCCAAAAAGAAAAGCAGATGATTTAATAAATCAAAATTGATACATCATTTGAATTTTGTAAGTACACATCAAAATGTTTTCATAGCCTCAAACAAGACATTTAAACTTTAGCTACTTACTTGCTGGCCCAAGGATATCTTTGCTATCACCAAGAAGCTTTTAATGCAGAGTAATTGAGCAGCAAACAAATACAGTCCAAACCAGGAAGAAGCAAAATGCACCAGGATGGAAGCAGCAGTGAAACAAAAGGACAAGGAAAATAGCATTAATTTATAAGTAGAAAGCACATGCACAACAATCTTCATAATCAGTTTATTAGAAATTTCCTTTTGCACACCAAAATAAATTGGCTTAGGAATTATCAAATATTTGTTTTAAATTTCAAAAATGAAAGTAGGAAGAGAAAAATGGAATCATCCAAGTATTCTGTTTTGAAATTACTCAAGTCAAAAGTTATTTTCAATTATAATTCAAGACACTACAGGGGCCAGAGATTTAGCTCAGTGGTACCATGCCTGGCTTGCAAGCACAAGGTCCTCAGTTTGATCCCCAGTACAAAAATAAAGACACTATATGGATCAGGATTGGTAAAAATTATTTAGAAATGTGAGAGCAAGCCAAAGCTATTCATTTTGTAAATTTAAGGTGGTTTAAAAACACATAACACTCATGTACTATTAAATATTAGTTCTGCATGCCATGAAAGCACTTAACATTATATAGAGATGTAGTCAGTTTCTTCTGCAAAAAAGAAAGGAATATTTACTGAGTGCATATCATATGCCAAGCATTAGCCAAAGAGCTTCTATAAAGATATCAACAAAGCAGAACAATTTTTTCTCAAATGACAAAAATAACTCAACAAGAAATATTCATTAGAAAGAAAATTTTATTACATTAGACAAAACATTTTTAAGACCCACTAAGTTAATATCAAGCATATCATCTGGAGCTACTAGGCTTTTATAAAGTCAGAAGAATTACAATCAACTAAAAGAAACAGGAAAAGACTGATCTTTTGTCTAGTAACTGTTTTAACATACATTATTCTACATGTTGCCTATGGATAAATGTTTTGGTCTGCGTTGGTAGGAATATCTTACCTCCACTACAGATAGGAAGCAAAATAACACCAAAACTAACTGGGCATGGTGGCACATGCCTATAATTCCAGTACTCTAGAAGGCTGCGGCAGGAGCATTCCAAGTTTGAACCCAGTCGAAACAATTTAGTGATTTAGTAAGACCCTATTTCAAAATTTAAAAAAATGAAAAAGGGGGCCAGGGATTTAGCTCAGTGGTTTTGGTGCCTGCCTCACAAGTTCAAGGTCCTGAGTTCGATCCTCAGTACCAAAGGGGGGGGGCTAGGAATGTAGCTTAGTGTGAAGACCTGGGTTTAATCCCTAGTGTCAAAGAAAGAGAGAAAGAAAGAAAGAGAAAGAAAAAGAAAGAAAGAAAGAAAAAAGAAAAACTAAAGTAGCAATAAAGTCAATAAATTTCCATTCACAGGCCGGGGATTTAGCCCAGTGGTTCCGTCGCCTGCCTCGCAAGCGCAAGGACCCGAGTTCGATCCCCGGTACCAAAAAAAAAAAAATTCTATTCATTATGTATACATATTATATTGTTTCTGTTTTGTTTGGGGTTTTTTTTTTTTTTTCCAGTACCAGGGATCGAACTTGGGACCTTGCCTTGGCGAGGCAGGTGCCGGAACCACTGCCCTCGTTTCTCAGTTTTATTTAAAAAGAATGAGGGAAACTTAATTGGCTGTGACAAAACAAGGTAGCAGTTGTTTGGTGTGGGCCTCTGTCATCTCTTTGGACCTGTTACCCTGAGATGGTTATTTCATAGTGCTTAATATTATGTTCTACAGCCTTTAGGCATTCATTCAATCTATTTTTCTGCAGTATGGATAAACTTATTCTTCTATGAACTGATTTTAGTTTCATACATAAGTTGAAAGAATACAGCTTTGTTGTCAATGAACTAATTGTGCTCAGGTCCTTATAACTGATGGCTGTGCTATTACAACTGATAAACTTTCAGGAAGAGAATAAAGTATTTGTGGCAGGCAAAATGTCCCCCAGGGATTCTCATTTCCTGGCATAATTCTTTCTCTTTGAGTGTACACTGGACTTACTAAATCACTTAAAAGAATATGGCAGAAGTGATGGGACATCTCTTCTGAGATTAGATACTAAAATGACTATGACTTCTAAGTTTGCAGTCTTGACTGCTCTCACAGATAAAGCACACTGGGGAAAGCCAGGTGTCACTTCATGAAGCATCCATGAAGGGGGCTGCTACGCAGGAACTGAGATGTGGCAACAGTCATTAAGTGAGCTTGGAAGATCTCCACCTCTGTCACCCATCCACACAACCAAGCTTTAGTATAGATCACAAGAGCACCTCCTCCCCAATCCAGTATCCTGATTGCAACCACCTGATCAACTTTGAGTCAGAGTCAGCTAGCTAGGCTGCTTTCAAATTCCTGACCCACAGAATCTGAGATAATAACTGCTTGCAGTTTTATACCACTTAATTTTGGAATCATTTTATTCATCAGTAAATAATTAATATAATATTAGAAAACTAAAAGAAGAAAGCTGACAGAGACACCTGTGTAATTTACAAATGCTTCAAAAACATCTTAAATAATCTTCCTGTATTTACATCATGAATTATTGGTTTCACTAGACTTACCAGTAACTTCCCAAAAGAAAGCAGTGGTTCTAATTATGCACATATATGAAATATATATAATTCTGTAATTCATATATATGAATATATATTTAATTTCAAAAAGTAAGTCATATATGAAGGTTTTAGAGTTGATCTTCTATTTGGAATAAAAGATTAGTAGGCTTATTTTCATTATACAGTTCTGCTACATTCTTAAATTTTGTTGATTAAAAGCACTAAGTCAACTTCTGTATTGGTGTATTTCTTTCCTGTTTACTCTCAGAAATTAATCCCTAACATACACAGCAACTTCTGAATATGTTCCTAAAACCTCTAATTATACTTATTCTCACCATTATACAGTACCTTCAAACATGTCTCCATGTTACACAAACCACATGTCCACCCAATAAATATTTACTGATAACTACTATAGACACATATCATTTTAGGCATGAAAAGATATAACAGTAAACAGAATCGACAAAAATCCTGTCCTTGTAGTACTTATGTTTTGGTTATGAAGATGAGTGAGAATAAATAAAAATTAATAATATATAGCATATTAACTGAGAAGAATAAAGTAAGCAGAAAGTGGGACATATAAAATGTTAGGCCTAAGAAAGCCCTAGTACAGCTGACTGGATTAAATGAAGAAACCTGCCAAGAAGAGGGGTGGGAGGTGGTGGGAGGCAGAGGGAGAAGGATGAGAAGAGGGAGAGGTAAAAGGAGGAGGAAGAGGAGGAAAAAGAAAGGAGGAGGATAACTATTTGACAGGGTAAGTTTGAATGTCTATTAGATATTCAAGGGGAAATTTCGAGGAGGAGGAGGAGGAGGAGGAGGGGAAGGGGGAAAGGGGGAAGGAGGAAGGGAGAAGGGAACTTCAGACAGAGAAAAGCCATAGACCACTGGGAAGAGAGCAAGTCTGGAGGCTTCAGGGAGGAGCAGAAGGCCAGTAAGGCTGGAATGTAATGAGGAGGAGGAGGAGGAGATGACGTCAGAGAGTAAATGGATCTGGATTGTGTAGAACTTCATAGGGCCTTGTCAGGGCTTTGGTTTTATTGTGAATAAGTTGGGAAACCACTGGATGGTGGATGGTTGAAAGGTCCGACTATGTTTTAACAGGGTTATTCTGACTGCTATTCTGACTGCTAATCTCTTGCACTTCAAACATACCAATCCCATTTTTCTTAAGCAGGTCTGGAAGTCTTCTTTTGTTAGTGTAGTTGTAAGATATTTAAAAAAATAAAAAGCTAGGAATTCTATTTGACTTTTGCCAAAGTACCAAAATACTGTTAACATCTCAAATGATCCAGGTATTTCTCCTCAGTTTGTTCAGAAAAAAAGCCATTAAGATAGAACAAAACAGTTTCTGTAGTTGAGTAACTTATAATGTCCACACAGTCATCTCAATAATTTCTGTTCTATAAATAAAATTATTTTGGCACAGAGTATGGGATGAAAATAGTAAAGTAACAGTATCATGCCTGGAACTTTTACTTATTATTAGCTAATATAATTTATTAAAAGAATGACATATTTATAGCCATCATCTAATCATCTCAGAAAAGAAGCATTATACAAAACAGGTGATCTTATTTTATTGTATACCTAAATATCTGCTATTTATAATTAACATAAAACATCCAATATTTAAGAAATATAGAGGTAGAAGTCCATTATCATTCTCTTTACTCTGAGAAACCCCACAATCTCAATCAAACCAAGACAGATTGTCACCCTATATAATATAAAAATAATTTCACGAGATTTAGAGCTTTTATTCTACTGTCTGTCTTTAGGATATGGACCTCCTAACACACATATTGGTTTGCTTTAAGTCAGCCCATGAGCTTAGGGGAAAGTGCAGGAACCTATCAAGAACTGATGTAGCTGGTGGTATCCCCCTCCCCTAGTAAAGTCAGTTGTCACAGAAGCAGTGCTGCTGCAGCTGATTTCCAGAAAGCACACTTTGGAAGGATTATACAAAACACCTAAACGGCACTCTATTGGGTGTTACCTTTGGTTCTTAGAACAAGGAACTTCAGCACAGGGGACACAATGCAGCAGAGAGCTGCTTGTTCTTAGAACAGGAGTCATCACTCTATACTTAGCTTCAGTTTTTCATATTCTTGAAATCATCTCCAAAGCACTCATATGTACATTTCAGTCTTGAGTTTATGGAAGAGATTTTAAAGGATTTTTTTTTCTAGGAACTAGAACTTATCACTGTTAGATACAGAATATGATCTGGCCTGGTAGGCAGTTATTTAAAATAACTTGATTTACATTTCGATCCAGTTCTACTTCTAGTATGAGATCCTAGAAGGATCAGTTCTATTTCTAGGACCATACAAAATGTTCAAAAACATATACTCATTGATCACAACACTATTCACAGTAACCTAAACACTAACCTATTTAAGCAAGTATTAAATAATAATATAAATAATATACTGAAATACTATCTAGTCACTG